CAAAGCCATTAAAGCTGCTGTCACTGCAGGGCCCTGTGACTCGCTGTCACGGTAGCTACCAAAAGTGAGAAGATGTCCTGGGAACAAATCATGAGGGAAATGGCAGCATCTGTTGTTCGTTCTTTGAAGAAGAACCTTCTTTTCCCAGACTTATGCATCCGCTGTGCTTGAACTGCCATGATCTTGGCCTTGGAAGGCTTGCATTCATCAGGGCTGTGTAGCTTGGTCTAGGCAGAACCTTCACGTTTCAGAATGAGGTGATGCTGTGTTTGACGTAAAGGCTCTGTTTATGTTACCAGGATGTGCACAGCATTCATTCTGTGCTGATTTTTGGAGGATTTCTGTGTCTAAGCGTAGACCCTTGCATGTAGGCACGTGCATTTGGCTTTACCAAACTACCCAGGGTGATGCCCCTCTCAGTTGCTGAGCCTGTAGGCGAGGGTTTGTAATCGCTAGTCCAAATGCTGGAAATGGGGGGTGGGGGAGCAAAAACTGCTGCTCTATGTTGGCAATTAACTGTTGGACAAATCTAAGTAATTATGCTTCTTGAGTGGTGTAAGGTCTGCACCAAACAATTGTAAAATGTGATTTTGCAATAGCTTTACAGACACATCTACTTTTGAAATTAACTTAGTAACACAACTTAACTTACAATGTCTTCAAACCGACAGAATGTCAAGTAGCTGTCATGCATTTTAGAAATGTACAGGAGATTGATGATGTTAAATAAAAAATTCTGTCTGAAACCCAGACAATAAAACATTGGCAAGCAACTGGTGTATAAAGAAAAATGAAAATGACTGTGCTGATTTTTTTATTACTGTGACTAATTCAGCTGAGAGAAATGCAGAAAGGGCGTACACTGAATTTTTGCAAAATCCTGTGGTATGCTTTCTACATGTCAGCATTTAAGGACTATCCATTTGGATTTTTAGGAGTGATTGTCTCGTAAGAAGCACCTGTCTAAAATTATTAAATACAGATTCTGTTTTGTTTATACTTTTGTTGCCCAGCAATATTGAGATATTCAAATTAGTTTATAGAAATATACTTAGTATAGTTTCCGTCTACAGCATTCTTAATATATTTTCAAATGTATTTTCAGAAAATTTCTTGGATATATAAACCATAAAAGAATCCAGGCCACTAATAGAAACTGTGAAGTGACTGCTGATGTGAGACATGATGGATCTGAACCACTTGTAGATGTTATGTTTGGTAAGGAGCTCAATTTTAATCTTGACCAAAAAAAAGACTTTCTGGGTTTGTGTTGTGACAATGTTATTGTCTTCTCCATGATTTTTTTTTTTTACTGTGGTTACTTTTTTTTGGTGCTGATCCATAGCTAGATGCCGTGCAGCTGGGAGGAAAAAAGGAAGAGGGAGTCACTAACAAACAGCCTATGTCTAGAGACATGTGATAAATGTGTATATATTTCTTTGTACTACAGTTAGATCTGATGGATCTTAGATCAAATAACTGACTTAACTTACAATCAACTGGTACAATTCCAGGGAAGGAAGTGCAGCTCTGTTTGATGTAAAAATTTCTTCACTTTTGGTATTTTTTTTAATGTTATCTGTGGTGGAGGCATCTGGGTCTTGAGAACAGAAAAGTTGAATACCTGTAGTTGCTTATACAACCGAGTAACTTACTATGCAGTTTGAAGGAACTGCTCGTATGGATAAGATCATACATGTGCAGCTGGACTTGCAGAACGAGGTCAACTGACATACAACAAATTTCTTGGTTTCCTTTGAGGGTAAAATGAGCAGGCGGGAAACTGGTGGTGGAAGTTTCACCAGTTCTGTAAGCGGCCCAGATTCTAGGCTGTGAACAGATGGCTCTAATCTGCCTTTGTCCTTTTCTCTGGCTGCATCTTCTTTCCTGCTGTGCTGTAATGGACCAATATGTCATGTAGCCCATTAAACTTTTCATTGTTATTATTGATTCTTTTTAAGCTTCCATATATTTAGTGAATCGGTAGAAATGTCAACAATGTTGAATGTACTTCATTTTGCTTAGGAAAGTCTAGTGTTGACACTGCTTGTTTCTCCCTCCCCCATGCCTCTGTCTTTCCCATCCGTCTCTCTAACTGTGATATACTAAGACTTAAGCAGTAAAGCTTAATGTTTTTCACAGCGTAAACCCAAAACAATTTATTTCTCTAATGCCAAAAGCTACAGCTATGAACTCTTCGTTTTCTAAGAGCTGATTATTTTCCAAGTGAGGAGTTTGCAGCCCTTGCAGTTGGCAGGCATGGGACTGGAACGTGGATGCCATGCATGGCATTGCATTATGAGGGTTTGAGTATGGCTTTTGTATTTGCAAGTCTTGCAAAAATGAATTATTAACTTAGGTACAATACTCAACTTCTACTGCCTCCTCTCTGTTTTAAAATAATTTCTTTCAGAATTTTAGAAATCTTGGTGCTCTGTATTTTTTTACGTTATAGCCACCAGATTGTGTAAACCAATTTGTTGTTTTGGCTAAAGAAGTAAGTTAAACGGACCGTGGACAACATGCTGGTAAAGTACTGAGCCATGTGTGGAAATTATGCCTTCCAGTGCCTTCTGTGCCTTCTGTTGGATGACTTTGAGGGCATAGTATGAGCCATTTTCATCAAAGATGTGTTCTTACTATAAGTGTATCTAGACAAACGTTTCAGATTTTTCAATAATGAAATACAGGAATGAAAATTACATGTGTGTTGTGTGCAGTTTAATATAGTTCTTTGGTGATGCGTAATCAGATCCTTTGGGAAGTGGAGTACTGTCTAATCAGACAAGATGAACAAGGTATTTGGATTTATATATACAAACCAGAACCGCACACCAAAGTGATTGTGACTTAGACTTTGTGACTTCTTAATTTTTTTTCCCTTTGCAGCTGATGGAGAGCGATTGATAATGAAGGGAGCCAACTTGACGACAATAGAAATGTTAACAGCATTGGGGTCCAGATGTAATGCCAAAGAGATTAAGGAAGAACAGAAAAGCAAGAAGAAGAGTCCCTGAAGAACAGGAAACAAATTATGTTTGCATTTACATGTGTTAAAAACAGCAGGCTGCGCAGAAGGCTTTTCTCCTATGCAACAAAATCTGAAGAGGGCAAAGGCCAAAACACTGACTGATTTAACATGCGGCAGAACAAACCATTTAAATGTTCGCCTTCTTTGTCTGAAGGAAAACATACAGGATCAAGAAATCTTCGAACACTAGTGCAGTGGGTCAGAGTGGCTCGAGATACAGAAATGCATCTTTCTAAGCAGCCGCCTCTCAGTCGTCTGTATGTTGGACTAGTATCACATGTATTTGCGTATAAATGTGAATAATGCACACTAGCTATTAAATTAATATTACAGTGAAGACGGATTGCTTTGGACATTATTTCCTACAAAATTTCTGTACAGTGTAATGCGAAATATTATTGGAGTGGTTATTATTTTTGAAAGTTGTTAAGCACATAATTTTCAAGAAAACTTTGAAAGTCTTCATCATTGACTTAGCTGAGAGACAGAAAGCTGCAAATAGAGTGGATTTTGTAATACTGTGTTTATAATACATCTGTTGCTAAGTCCCTGCCATTATCTTCCTCTCTTTTTCAAGAAACTGAAATTTGCTAAGTGTAAATTTAGCTCAGCAATTAAAGTAACAAGGTAGTGGGACTGTGAACACACAGTAGAGCTACTCATCCTGCATAAGAGTAGCTAAGTTTAGCTCAAAGGGAAAGGTAAGATAGGGTTTTTTTGATAATTGGAGAAAAGGGCTATCTTTGAAGTTCAGTTTTGTAATATTTTTGTCACTCACTTTTGGGAGATTGCATTAAATATTTTACCAAGATCAAAGGGAGATATTTATATTTGGTGTTTACAGCCCTATGTCCAACCCTGTTATTTACTGAAGCAAGTGCTTAGGTGTCTCATCTGTATTGCAAAGCTCTGTGGGTTTGGGAGGGTTGATCTCTCCTCAGGCTGTGCAGATGAAGGTGTCAACTGCGCATGTATTTCATGTGCAGCAGTTTTGCTCTAGTTCAATTTGTAATGAAAATGTAATTAAAGTTCCAGTTTTGAGAATTGCAGGTGCAGTACTATTGAGAAGCATTAGTTCTGCCTGTTGTTATTCAGAAGCCTGACTTCTATAAAATTGTTGTACATACATTTCCAAAGTTAATTTGGCAGCGGATTTAGGGCACAAATCTGAAACTAGTTTTACCTTACTTTCGCTGAGATTTGTAGATGGACACTGTCCTTCCTGAAAGCAACATTGTTTTTTATAGCACTGCCAAGGTAGTTCTTTGCAACTTCTTCACCAGGATGCTGAAGTCAAGGTGGTATCTTACCTTGGAGATGCACAGCTGTGCTAAAGACGTTGGGTGATACGTTATGGTGGCCTGCTCGGTGTGTTTGCAACAGATAGAAGAGAGTGAGAGAAGATGATTGGGGCAGATGGGTCAATGAAACTTGGACGTGGGAAAGATAGATGTGACTGACTTATCCTGGGATGAATACCTTCTCTGCAGTCTGTTACCCTTTTTTTTTATTAGGCCACCAACTCTTCCAAGTGGTTTCAGAGTGCCAAGCTCCTGAACCTGCTACTGAGCTCCCTTCTGCTGGAGGAGTTACAAGAATATCTGAAACTGTTTTGAGAGGATTTAAAATCCTGTCAAGCGAGAAGAGTATCCTAGAAAGTGGACAAAATAGAAGTAAGACTGTTCAAAGGACAAGTTTGATTTTTTTTTTTTTTTTTTCCAGTTTAGAAGAACGTTGTATAGCATGACTTTACCTGAAGAAGCCTTACAGGGAAAGTGAGAATTATTCAAGTGGAGAACACTGCAGAATTATTTGCTCGCCAGTTAAGCATGTATTTGCATGCTCAAAAGCCCTCTTACTGTAATATACCAGTGATTT